TTAGGGGTTTTGTTTTTTGTTTTCCTGAACTGAATTGAGATTTCTCAGTTAGGGGAACAAATCCACTCCCACCAGATCTCACTGAGAATGGAGATGTGAGTTTAGCACAGGAAGGACAGCCTCGGGGAAGGAATGTCTCATCTATCTGTCACAGGCCCCCAAGAGCAAGAAGCAGAGTGCCCCCCCCCAACATGGAAGTACCACATCTTTCTCCAGCAGAGGCTGTTGCTGCCAGATTAAATTGTGGAGGAAATAAGAATGCAATAAAGAACAAGGTGTTACCCAAGGTCATTGTCTTGCTTGAGCATCTAGAGCCCATATTAAAATGGAGCAGTGAGGAATGGTCACACAAACACATCTTCCTGCTTGTTCCAGCCTGGGAGCAGGGCACTTCCGTAGAGGTTGTCCAGGAATTGTGACAAAAAATGTGTACAAGACATCCAGATGGAGGACAGGGGGCAACATCCTGTACAAAGTCCACTTTCCTTAGGGGGAAAATCAGCTGGCCCTGTCCACAACAACTGTCTGGTGGATATCTTATCAATGCCATTACAACCTCCTGCCCCCCCAAATACTCATTTTTATTAACAAACACCAAGGAAAAGAAGAAATATTTAACTGAGACGTATATTTTCCCATCTGAGTAATTTTTTCAATCTCGCAAATTGCAAACCCTTAGCCTTCTTGTGTGGCTCTCAGCCTGTCTCCAGCCTCGTTCATTCTTATGCCAAACAGAACTGGCCGAAAGAAAGCAAGGAACCACGCCTTACCCCAGCTAGTTAGGTGGTGCTCTGAGCCAGAAACCGGGGCAGGATTATTTTGCTGCTGCTGTCCTAAGAACCGAGTAACCTGGCTATTCAGAACACATCGGGTAAAGCATACCGTACTGCTAAGAGAAAAAGGAAGCCTCTGAAAATAGTGCTTAATTAGAGGGAGAGGATTTCTCGTGAATGTTCAGGAAATCACTTTTTCCTTAACATTCTGACACTGTAACCCAGACGTTTTGGACAGTTATCATAAATGAGATTTGAGAACGTTTTTCTTCTCTCAGCAAGCCTCCTCACTGATTGTTTCATGTCTTCCTGAACACCTTTCGGCTTTGATTTTTGTTTGTTCCAAGAAGTGCTGAGAAAGCTATTTGTCACTCTCCTTGCAGACTATTAGTGTGCTTTCCTACAGCTGTTGCAACTAATTTATCATAAGCAGGCCATCTCTGATCAGAATACTTAATTGTTTAGGCCTGATGACTGAACCAGTACTGAGGAACCATAGGTACCTCTTTTTCCATTTCTTTCTACTCCTTTGCTATTAGCTAATGTTCACTATCCCCACCTCTGCTTCTTCCTCATTCTTTCCCACCCCTTTGCAAACATGTCTCACGCCACTGGAGACTTCCCTGCCCTCTCAGACATCCTTGTCTTCTTTCCATGACTGACTTGAGAGGTCACCTTTGAGATGGAAGCCAACCCCAGACACCAGGAGAGACAGACTTTAATCACTCTTATTCTCTGGAGAACCTCAGGGCTCTCTTGTGTTCAGAATCCCTAGAGTGCAAGCCCAAGGCAGAATTCTTCCAGGGTCTCTAAAATTTGAAATTGTGATGAAAGGTTCAGGAGCAAAGAAGGGCTTGATCACCCCCATGGACTGTTTTAATAGGAAGGCTAAACACAGAGCACCATCTTGCATGTTTCCGAGCTTGAGACCCATATGGGCACTTGTGTTGTTTTCACCGAGTGGCAACTGCGATATACTGATTTGCAGCAGACCTTGCCCAGGTCCTTCTGACCAGTGTAAATGCACCAGTAGGGCAGTGAGCCAGCCCAAGTGCCGGTGGGACCCTGGACCATGCTCTGTAGGCACCCTCCCACAGCAACCCAGCCCCCAGCAGCACCAGGCTGGGCTGCAGAAGGGGAGCCCCCGGTGGGGTCTCGAGGCCTGTGTGTCTGTTGCAGGCTGGGATCAGAAGGTCTCTTCCCCAGCTAGATCTTAAGCCGTAGTTTTAGGGGTGAGATGGAAGGTCCTCTCATCAGAGACACATTCAGTAAACACATGTTGAGCGCCTGCTGTGTACAAGACGCCTGCTCAGTGTGGGAAACAGGGAACTACCAGATCCAGTTCCTACCACGGGGAAACCTGTCTCTTTAGCTTTGGGCAAGAGTAAGATCAATTTCAAGTAAGATGACCCTCAGGGCAAAAAATGTAGCAAGAAATCATTGCTTTTATCTGTGGCATGAATGCTGTGCGTGTGTGCGTGTTGTAGTGGTGGAAGAAAGAAGTGGAAAAGCAGGCAGAGATCTGATAAATAGGGCTGCGTCTGCATCAACTGGTTAATTCTTCCGAGAGGCTCAGGAAGCCAGTTGTAATTAGATATGTTTTTTCTATTACTTAAATTGAAACAACTAATTAAATCCTTAATTAATGTTTTTTAACTACCTTGGGATAAGAAGTGCCAGAGAAGTTATTCTAAGTGCTAAATATTACTCTGAAGTCCCAGGGAGCAGTTTGCTCATGTGTTGACTCTGGAATCTGTGAGGAGGCTCATGCTGTGAATAAAAGTCATTTGAATCGCGGTTGGCAAAATGTTTAAAGTATCTTCTTCCCCTTGACTTCCCCCAAGGTTATCCCCTTGGCCTCTGTTACAACTTTCATCCTTGATTCACCATCACCTTTGATCAAGCCCTCAGCCGCTTAAAGTTTTGGGGGAGAAAGCTCATTTAGAAGAGGAGTTTGCTTGGTTCTGGGCCCCTCTGTAAAGTATCTAGCTTATCAAGTACAGGCTATAAGCAATAATGAAATTTCCCCTGTGGGGTGCATTTTCATCTTTAAAACCTTAGAAGTTATAAAAGGAGTGATACACAACTGCATTGGGAGGCAGCCAGGCCAGCAGTAAGCTCTGCGGAACATTCACATAATTTCCGTGGTCTCTGCCCCTTGAAGAAATTATTAGGGGCTGGTATTTCACTCCCCCACACTCCTTCTGTCTCCCTGTCTTCCTCATGGTAAATCACCAAGGAAGGCACTTACTGACAGAATACATTAATTTGGTAGCCAGAGGATCATTCCAGCAAGGCGCATGGTTTAGAGACAAATGAGAGAGACTTTCTCTAGAAATTTCCAGGAAGTCCTTTTGGAAGTTTGCTTCGAAGGCCTAGGTTTTCTGAAAGAGTAGGGAGAATTTTATTAGGTCTTTATTTGGCAGTCGATGTCTCTTAGATTCAAGCAGAGGGGGTGTTTCACATCTGGGAGATTTTTTCATGTCTTTTTTTATTATGCAGATGTTCACATCTGCAGACCCTTCCCTTATGCGATTGCCTTCTCTCCCCTCAGTGAGTCCCTTGGCTCACCCTCCACATTAATCTACAATGGACTAAGCCAACTAATGACAGCTGTAAACTCCTCGGGGACCACTGTTTTCTACTTTGCCCCTTTATGTTCATGTTTGGAAACATTTATATTAATATTTATGTGAATCAATTCAGAGAATATGTTTGGTAAAATGAATTTATTCATGTTAGTGGATAGAAGACCACATTATAGAATCACTTAGAAACCTACGAACATATAAAACAAAAATTATTGGAAAGCTAAAATCCAAAGAAAGTCTTGCAGATTTCATTTTAGAACGCATTTCATTTTCTGTTGCTTTATATGTTCTCAAATTGGAAAACACAACTATGTTTAAGTCTACAAGTTCAGAAATGTAGTTAGAATTCAGGATCTAGTTCAGGATATAATCAACTACATTTGAAAAAGAGAGAGGTAGTATAGATTATCTAGCATAATGATCCAAAACCCTAACTACATGGTAGTAAGTGTGGGGAGCTTTTAAAACCTCCAGTGCCTGGGCTTCACAGCCAGAGTCCCTGGATCAGCTGATCTGAGAATGGCGTCTGGGCATCTGGGAGGCCATGTAAAAGGTCCCAAGGAATCCGATGTGTAGCTGAGTTCAAGAATTCCATATACATAGTCCATTGACTTTTCTCGTACTTAACAGGGTTCTTTTTCCCACCCAGCATACTCCACCTGAAATAGCAGAATTGTTCCCTGGCCCAAAAGGTAAAGCAGTTCTCCCCAGTCACTGTGAAGTCATCTCTGTAGCTCCCAGGGAAGACGGCAGCTGGCACCAGCTGGCACCTCCCCGGAGGGTGTGCGGGGGCCTGTTCTCAGCCCTGTAGTGGGCACAAGCCCTGAGCAATCACCCGTCTGCCCTGTAAGAACTTGAGGCTTGGTGACGGAAGACCTGGTTAGAGTCCCTGCTCTGTTATTTCGATTCTGAGCCATCTTGGTTAATACATATAACCTTTCTGGGCCTCAGCTGCCTCATCTGTAGAATGAGGAAGGTCACACCTTCCCAGACTTGTGAGAATATGAGATACTCATGAATAGGTTTGTCACCTGTGCAGAGCTACAGAACTAGTGAGTTTGTGGGGGACACTGTGTACCCCTGGGGATCACCCTGGATCCTGAGGGCATCTCCTCAGTAGCACTGGCCAAACCCAGCATCAGCCTGGCTCCCGATGTGGAGTTTCAGGGCGGAAAGCCCTTGGATCCCAGGTGTGCTGTGCCAGAGCCAGGGGTAGAAAGGGGGGGTCAACAAATGCTGGGGGCCCATCGTATCAGAAACCATGTCTGACTAGGGAACACACCCCGAAGTGAGAACGCGGGCCCATTCCGCAAAGCGAGGCTCTCTTCTCCTTTTGTCAAATGTTTTTCCCAGCACAACAGTCTGTGTGCCTGTAGGACCACTGGGAGCAGGAGGCAGGGCAGTCTGCTGGTACTTGGATTCCAACTCTATTGGGCTGTGAGCAGGTTACCTCACAGGCCACGCCTCCTGTTTCCTGTGCAGGGCGGATAATAGCAGCCCCTCCCTCATGGAGGTGTCTGTCGTACGAATGAAGAGAGTGAATGTACGTGAAGCCCTGACTGACAGTGATGCCAGGTCGGGGTCGGCTGCTGTGCCACACAGGGCTAACCCATCTGCCTGTCTCCTCCCGCCCCAGTGCCTAGCCCCTCTTGTAATGGCTTTGACGGCACCCTTTCAAGGCCCTGCCGGCTGCCGCTGGGAAAGGAGGTCTGCTTCATCGCCACAGTTCGTCTGGCAACACCACAGTTCTTAAAGGCAAGTACCTGGGAGAGCTCGTGTTGTGTGAAACTAGTACAACTGAGTCATGTTTAGTTACAGCTCACTAACCGTCTTTATGGGAAAGAATAAGATGGCAGTGAAGTTGCCACTGACTTTGAAAAGTTGAAATGTCTGCTTTCTGCACCTGTGAACTGCGCCGCATGCCCCTTGCCCTAACTCTGGTTTCCCAGGAGCTCTTTGGCTGGAAGGCAGCATCGGCTGCCCTTCAGCCTGCAGAGATGCTCATTGGCAACTCTGTAGATCCTCCTCCCTTTCATGCCAACGTTACTACCACTCAGGGCAGGCCGAGGTGAGGGCCAAGTGTCAAAACCCAGGGCTTGTCTGTATTCTCTCACCCGTGATTGCTTTAACATCCGTGGCATGAATGCGGAGTTAAATTAGTCATTCAAATTCAGATGAAAAGCCATTTTCCACATGTTTACCACCCTTCCAGATAATGGGAAGGGAGTGGTGTGGCATTTTGGCTCTTAGGTATTTTTCCCCAGCTTGTGAAATTTTAGTATCAGCTAATACTGAAATTAGCTACAGATGATGAGTTTCAGCCCAACACAACTTGGAGACTTGCTCTAAATGATTTTAACTTCTGTTACCCACCATGCGTTCTTGAACCAACCTAGGGTGAGCATCTGGCACCCCAAGCAATATTTTTTTCCCTTCTAATACAGGAAATGTGCATAGTTGACGAACCTTTAGAGGAATTCACTTCAAGGCATAGCTTGGAATGGAAATTTTTATTTCTGGATCACAGGTTTGTGAAAAGAAAAACATATTTGGGTTGGGTCCTTTTCAAGTGTTTGTTTGCATGAGCCAGGCTCTCCTTGGGAGAGAAAAGTCGGGCCTTGTCCCTTCAAGGAGAAGGGCTTTCTGGCAGCAGGGAAAATCGTTCCCGGCCAAGAGCCAGGCGGCCTCCCTTCAACTGCAAGTGCCGCATCCGTGGGTATGATGCGTGTTTGGGCCAGAGCATCTCAGGAGAGCCAGGTGCCACATCCCAGGGGCATCTTTGGGATACCCTCACCCCCATCCCACTCGGGACCCTCTCCAGTTCCCCGGAAGGCAGGGGCAGATGGGAGAGAACCTCCTCGTCTTAATTTTCTCAACACCCTTTTGTCCCTTTAACTTCGCCTTCTTTCTTTCTTCTGTAACATTTTTCACAGTTGAAGGATGAGAACTCTCCCCTCCCCACCCTTTAAGTTTTTGTTAAGCTTTGGGACTGGACTGCCCCAGTCGATAGCTGTTTTTAATTATTCGGTAATGATAAAATGTATTATTATTTAATGCAGGTTACGCTAAGCAAACTGAATATATAAATGCCAAAAGGGTTGAGCGCTTTGGGAAACACAGCCTCTCTGGTTTTAACCATTGCAAAATTACTGTCCTGCCATCGTTCTTGAGAAATGAGGTCTCTGTGTTGATCATGAAACATGCAGACTGTATCCTCTGTGTTGAGGTGCCACCACGGTGAGTCTGGTAGGGGGACCTGCTTTCTGATGAATTATCCCCGTTGCTTGGCAGAGCCCCTCCGATCATAGGATACCTGCCTTTTGAAGTTTTGGGGACCTCAGGCTATGACTACTACCACATTGACGATCTGGAGCTCCTGGCCAGGTGCCATCAGCACTGTGAGTATTGCACACCCTGCCCCAGCGCCTGATGGCCCCCAGCACCCTCCACAGAGCCCCGGCAGCAGGATTCTTGGGCCCTGGAAGTCCACTTATTACTTGGTTTCTTTTTGAGGAGGAACACTTTGTTTTCTCGAAAATGATGTACCAGTGTGGCAGAGGTCCCTGTGGTTTGAGTTTTTACCTGGAATTGACTTTGTTCCCCCTCCTCCCACCCCCCCAGCACCTTCCCAGTATCCTTTAGATAGGTAAGCTGTTGAATCTTACCTAAGAAAACAAGGTAAGTGATGATGGCCATTTTTTCTAAGTTATGCAGTACGTTATTTTAAGTTTATTTATTTATTTTGAGAGAGACAGAGAGAGAGTGCAAGCAGGGGAGGGGCAGAGAGAGAGGTGGGGGACAGAGGATCGAAGCAGGCTCTACGCTCACAGCAAAGAGACCGACACGGGGTTTGAACCCACGAACCGTGAGATTATGACCTGAGCCTAAGTCGGACGCTTAACAGACTGAGCCACCCAGGTGCCCTATGCAATACATTTCAAAGACAAACTATTGAACTCACATCACTGCTCATTGTAAGCAGACATATATTGGTCACAAGCTACAGGCCAGATACTGAGCTAGACCAAGCACATAAGGATGATCAGAATCTCCTTGCTGCTCTGCAGGAGCAAGGTCTAATGGATGCTTATAGGATGCTGTCACTGCATTGGATGGAACGTGTTGAGGATACTGGGGGTGCTCAGAGAAGGATTCCTCACCCAGCTAGGGGAGGGGATTGGGAAGGCTCTCTGCCACAGAAGAGGGCCACAAGCTGGGAGGTAGGGGAGGTACCCCATGTTGTGGGGTGGGCAGGGGATAGAGGGAGAATTACAAGTATATCTGGGTTCTCACTTAGCAAGAGGAGTCAAGAATTAACCATTTAAAGCCATATTTTCAGTGCCAAGTTCTAGCTTTAAACAGGAAAATGTTTAATCATAACGGATCCTGACACATAAATTGACCACCAACACTGTATTTTGATAGATGTCCTGTCTGTAGTATCCATTGTAACTTTCCCTTCTCTGCTGTTCTTGTCAAAAGAATAGGCTTAAGTTCCATCAGGATCCTCAGAACCTAAGGCTGATCTTTTTTTTTAATATCTATTTATTTATTGGGAGAGCACAAGCCGGGGGAGGGGCAGAGAGAGGGGAACAGCAGATCCAAAATGGGCTCTGAGCTGACAGGCTGGCAGCAGCGAGCCTGATGCAGGGCTTGAACTCATGAACCTTGAGACGTGACCTGAGCCGAAAACAACTGAACCACCCAGGTGCCCCTAAGGCTGATCTTTAAAACGTTAACCCTTTGCTCCTCAAAGTGTGTTCCTCAAACAGCAGCAAGGACATCACACGGAGTTGGCTAGCCTTGTAGACTCTCAGGCATCCCCACCAGGCCTGCGGAATCAGAACGTCCATTTTTACAAGATCCCCAAGTGATTCATGGGCACGTGAAAGTTTGAGAAGCAGGGTTACCTCAAGCCTTGGCTGCTTCTGACTCTTCTAATGGAGCAAGGCCACCCTGGTTGTAGGATTACCTTCATCATCTGAAGGAGTTGCCCCAGGGCTCAGGCAAGATGTTCTCACTCTGTCCAGCCCATGCCCTTACTCAGCTGGGCTTCCTACGTCTTTGGAGATCACATTTTCCAAGGCAGTGGCTCCCTTTATAGCTTTGGTTTCCTGGTTGTGATATCTATTAACTGTTTGCCAAAAGACGTGCTAAATTCCAGCCACTGAGGCAATAAAGTCCAGATTGTTCTTCTTCCCTAGACCCACAGTCCAGCCTTCTGCCCTGTGCAGTCTAATATTCCAACAGCATCCATTCTGTTCTTGACACCCCCAGGGAAGCCCACCAACAGACTTGACCGCAGGGGACTCCACGCAGCCCTGCAGCACTGGGGCCTGAGGTGGAAGTCATCTGTAGCTGACTCTCTAATTTAGGACCGTGTAGACTAAGCATGAACTGCTGACTGACAGCCACAGAATCCAGCCAGAGGTTGCTGTCAGGTCTGGTTTGGGCCCAGATCCCCCCCGTGTCTGGATCGTCTCTTCTGTACTCAGCTCCTGCAGCTCCAAAGACAGTTCCACCTCCAGCAGGAAAACCTGTGCCTCTTTTTAATTAAACTCCAGTTTGGGAATCTGCCCTTATCTGAGGCTCTCTCAAGCCTTTGAGCATCTGGGGAAGCCTGCAGATTGTTCTTCCATTATTTAAGAATTCATTATCGCTTACCATTATCTTGAGAGTCACTTAAAATACAGCGCACCTGGGGAAATAAACCGTGTTTGGCACTTTCTGGAAGCTTGTATTTTTAACAGTAACTTCTGGGGAAGAGATCATTTTTGTATTAACGTTTGCTACCCGCAGACCCCATTTTCTCCTAACAGTGATGCAGTTTGGTAAAGGGAAGTCCTGTTGCTACCGGTTCCTCACCAAAGGCCAGCAGTGGATTTGGCTGCAGACGCATTACTACATCACTTACCACCAGTGGAACTCCAAGCCCGAGTTCATCGTGTGCACGCACTCGGTCGTCAGGTGAGGGCTGGGGCTGGGAGGGCGGGCGAGCCCCTCACAGCTCACACAGAGCTCCTGCCGCCTCAGGAGTCCCAGCTTCTGGAGAGCCAGCAAGCCCCGGGCTTGAATTCCTCAGTTGGGGCCAGGCTGTGCTCTGCAGTTCACAGAAGAGTCTCCAGGTACACATCCCACTCGTTCCCTCGACGCTGAAGGTTCAGTTAGGCCCCTCCGCAAGCCTCACACACTCGTTCAGGCTGCCAGGATGTTACTTACTGACTTACTGCTTCACTGACCTACTTGCATATTTTCCCCTCATCTCCACCCATCCCCCAGCCTTCCCTTGTCACCGTTTTGGGAAGAAAATTAAAATTTTGCCTCTAAATAACTCACAGACATAGTCCCCTTTATTGTTAATGCATTTAAAAAAAAAAAAAACAAAAAACCCTGCTGGCAACTGAGGCAGTGTTGGGAATAGAGCCCGGCTGCCGGTGGGAGGGGGTTCCTGGTGGTTCCTGGTGGCCTCAGGGAACCCCCGGCCCAGTGTGGGTGAGGAGAGCTTTCAAGGGAGGCAGCATATCCAGTATTTCCTAGACGCAGGCTGTGTAGGGTCATAATTCCCAAAGGTGAAGGAGAAATGTCATTTGTGGGGTTTTTTTTCCCTGACTACAGAAATTGTAAGGACATAAATCAGTTTTAAACTGGTCTGGAGAAGAGCATTTGAGCAGAGCAAAGAAAGAAAGGTTATATGTATTGTATGTCTGTATGCACGTATACGCGATAGGTAGATAATGGATATATAGAGAGAGATATATATGTACGCATACATATAGATACATACATACTGCATTTATATATATACATAAGAGATAAATGATTGATAGATAAAATGGATAGATACCATGCATGCGTACATGCACACACGTGCATATATACAGTTAACAAGTAAATCGCCCTTCTTTTAGCACGTGAGGAAAGAGGAGAAATGTTGGTCTTTCTTGCCAGTGACCCTGACCATCACACTGCATGCCACTCTTAGGAACTTGATCTTGGCTTCCCAGCCCACCCTTGCGCACTTCAGCAGCCAGTGATTTCCCGTTACAGGCCAGTCCCACCCACCACCACCCAGCCTGGGCCTTCATCAGAGGGCCTTTTTGCCCCCACCAGCAGCATCTTGGTCTTCAGACTCTGCCCTTGACCCTGCTCTTCCTCTCCATCCTCCACCTCCCAAATCTTGGAAAGTAACCCTCACAGAGAGTAGGGAGTGAACTAGTGAGTAAATAAGGTAACAACATTCCAGAAGCCCAAGAGCCACTGTCACTGCCCAAGTCCCCTTGCCCAGCCTGCACCTCCACACATGAAGCAGAAGCCATGGCTGGGTCACTTTGGCCTTCACCATATTGAATTGATTGGCCCACGGTATTTTATTTTATATTTTATTTTATTTTATTTTATTTTATTTTATTTTATTTTATTTTATTTTATTTTAAAGTTTATTTATTTATTTTGAGAGAGAACATGAACCGGGGGGGGAGGGGCAGAGAGAGAAGGGGACAGAGGGTTCAAAACAGACTCTGTAGTGATAGAAGCAAACTCGATGCAAGGTTTGAACTCAGGAACCATGAGATCATGACCTGAGCCAAAGTCTGACACTCAGCCAACTGAGCCACATAGGCGCCTCTTACCCACACTATTTTAAAAGTGGGTCCACAGGGGCGCCTGGGTGGCGCAGTCGGTTAAGCATCCAACTTCAGCCAGGTCACGATCTCGCGGTCCGTGAGTTCAAGCCCCGCGTCGGGCTCTGGGCTGATGGCTCAGAGCCTGGAGCCTGTTTCCGATTCTGTGTCTCCCTCTCTCTCTGCCCCTCCCCTGTTCATGCTCTGTCTCTCTCTGTCCCAAAAAATAAATAAACGTTGAAAAAAAAATTAAAAAAAAAAAGTGGGTCCACAGATTAATTAATCAGTGCTCTGCATCTAGATCTAGATTTGTTTGAGAGAAAACTTTCAAAGGTTGTAATTATTTAAAAAGTCATGTGTCCCTTCTCTGTATGCACAGTCCAGACTGAGTAGGTTTTAGGAAAGGCTTCTGATTATTCAAAGGCCAAGTCTTATCCTGTAGATGAAAATATGTTTCTAAAGACAATGATGTTTGGAAGTTTCAGGGCATGGGGAGAAGGTAAGTAAAAGAGAAGGGAGTAAAAACATCCTGGAAAGGAAAATATTTTGAATGTCACATTAGTCGCTCTGGTGGAATTCAGGCACAGAATGAAACTCCTTCCTCAAACAAGTGACAAGACCAGCCTCTTTCGTGGCGATGATTGTGGGGTGGGTGTCATGTAGGGTGCCTCGATGTACCACACAAGCCCTCTCTGCTGTTGCCATCTGAAATGTCCTACCTCCTGCTGTGGTCTCTTGATTTCCTGATCAGTTACGCGGATGTCCGGGTAGAAAGGAGGCAGGAGCTGGCTTTGGAAGACCCACCACCCGAGGCCATCCACCCTTCAGCACTCAAGGTATGCTGATCCCCACCAGATATCTAAAGGCCAAGTTTGCCTAAGTAAGCATTCCCATGAGATGTTATAATAGAAAGAGTAATAGTTTTATTTGCTATGTTCCCAGTACTATCCAACACGTTTCTCGGGTATTCTCTTGTTTACCATCATGACGTTCCCGTGAAGCAGGCACTGTTACTGCCCTCGTCCTGCAGATGAGGCCCAGAAACACACAACACACAAAACTTAGCTAACTCACAGAGCTGTATAAAACATACCCTCTGGACTCAAAGCATGATTTGGTGACTTTCCATCCTTACAGGAGTGGCTACGATAAGTCCACTTTGTATCTCTCCCACAGATAAAAAGCTGGGGGCTTATTCCATCATCCCATTGAGGTATGGAGTAATTTAAGTGCCCCTGTCCTTCCCTCAGCCTAAGTGCCGGGTCCTCCACAAGTGCCCCTCACAGATACTGTCCGTGTCGTCGTCGGCAAGGTGCACTTTCTACTTCTGCATCTGAAGGTCTTGGTTAACAGCCATGTTGGAGCCAGCTTCATGTCAGGGAGCTCTGCTTGTGTATTTCCCTTCACAAAGTCTTATCTCCTTCCCTGCTCCACACTCAGCTTTTAGGTGCCCCCCCCCAACCAGGCTTTCCCCCTGTGTCAAACAACTAGGGAAATGTGCAAGCAGACCAGAGCCCTGCTCCTCAAACGTCAACCTTCAAACAGACACAAATGTTGGGGAAAAAAGAGAGAAGGCAAGGAAGGGAGGGAGCATTGTATTTCATCAAAGCCAAGAAGCTAACCATTGTAAGATCCACCATTATTTATCTCCCGCTAAGAAAGAGAAAATGCTGCCACCAGTCAATCTGTGAAACAAGGATTTCTTTTCATCAGTTGAAAGACACATCCCAATTTTAGAAATGTCAAAATGTAGGGGGGAAAGTGTCTCTTAAGAATTGGTGAAATGTGGTTCAAGTTTCAGGCTGCCCAGTGACCTAGAATCCAGAGACTTCGGCCAGAAGCTGCTGTGGCAGCAATGGTACAATGAAAGCATCTCTGGTCCACGAGAGCTGAGTTGGGAGGAAGGAGGAATAACCTTTAAAGACCAGAGAGCAGTCAGTGTCTTCAGCGAGCCTCCCCTGCTGGCACGCTGCATGGTGATATATTGTATGGTGATTCATCACCAGCACACTGATACAACACACCTGCCATTGTTTGTGGAAATGTTTATTATCCCGCTCTGTCATATAATGCATCATGTATCATGTCCAAGAACAGAATTAAGCTGCTCGTAGGCAGGTGTTAGACACCCCATATATCACAGCTCACAAATGGGCATAATATGTATCATCCGCTCGGAAATTCATTATTGAAGTTTCAGATCCTTTGGGACTCCTAGAACCCAGTGGAACTTCTCATAAACATGCACGTATGTATAAGCACACCAATACAATCTCGGGCTGCCTCTTTTCAAGGAAAAGCTCCGGGACAATGCTTTTCAAACTATCAGTGGTGATGAACTATTGTTTTTTTAATTTCAAATCGGTCACTGACCGCTTTTGTAAAACGCTAATTCCCATGCTTGGATGTGATGTGCAGATATGTCAAATGGCTATAAAAGTCTTTTGGTGCTTCCTCTCATTTCCTGTACTTATTTCTCTGCTGACCAGGACCACATGATTTGCCAACAGCCCCGGGCCAGGGACCTCACTCTAAGGGGTGTATCTGGGGAGACTCTGTGACTAAGGAGCAGAGTCCCAAAGCTGACATTTTAGCACAGCAAATCCAGGCACATCCTGTAATTTGAGTTTGCACAAAGGACTGTAGGCCAATATCAGTCATTTCAGCCCTTCTTGGGCACATACACAGAATCCACCCTCACTGGAGCCATGACTCAAAAGACAGAATAGCCACATAGACTTGCACCCAGAGATTTAAGACCCAAGACCGTAAGACATAGAACGGCCTGTGCAGACAGCCTAGTGGATGCCAGGAGTGTCACTGTCCTCCTCTGCCTGGGTAGGAGCATGGCTCAGGAGAGTAAGCATTATGTTTCTTCTTTAGCTTAAAAATTATCCTACCCCCTGTTTTCTCATGCTTATGACATGAAGCCATGCAGGATGGAAAGATGGCTCCTGAGGGTTGGAAGGTCACAGTTGCTTTCTCATCACATCACACTTGAAGCAGGGGCATCCTGGGATCCAGGATTGGTTAGGATCCAGGAGCCAAAGGATAGGAGACCTTTGGCCTTTTGCCTGTTCTTCACTCCGGGGCCCTGAGACTGCAGAGGAGAGGCAGTGGGGAGACTGTGTGGGGCACATTCTGAAGGCTCCAAAGGCATTTATTTCAATGGCATGTTAACAATCCGGTACCACCACCAACTTCATTTCTAGAACCTGCCTCTCCCCCTGCCCCCACTTCTGGGAAAGCCAAGAATCTGGGCAGTGAGGTGACAATTTTAAGAAAAAAAAGAAAATGCAACATCAGCTATGAATATCTAAAAAATCAAAATCCAAGGTGAGCAAGTGTAATAGATACTGCTTATATAAGGCCACAAGCCTCTCAAAGATGTCTGGATTAAATACATGTACAAATATTGTACCTGAATGTGTCTGGAATGATCTCCAAATTGTTTCAGTCTTTCTCCCTACACCCTCCAAAATTTTCCACATAGTTAGAGGAGAACTAAAGTCACATTCCTGTCATCTCGATACTGCAATGTGGACTCTGTGTGTGTTTCAGGACAAGGGCTCCAGCCTGGACCCTCAGCAGCACTTTAACGCACTTGACGCAGGCACCTTGGGCCTTAACACCAGTCATTCACCATCAGTGTCCTCCAGAAGCTCCCACAAATCCTCACACACGGCCATGTCAGAACCCGCCTGTGAGTGTGCTGCCACGGATGGTGAGGGGGTGGGCGCCCATGTGGGGCCAGGGTGGTGGGAGTATAGAGTCCCACAAAGGGTCCCAGGCCTGAGCAGAATCAGGGCAGTCTCTGCCTGCCAAGTGGAAGCCGCCTTCCGGTTCACACTGTTTCTTGCTTCCTTTCCCTCCGGCTTTCTTCCCTCCACCTCTCCACACTCCAGAACAGACATAAAGCAGGTGACACGCAGGCCGGATAGTCTGGCCAGGTTTTGGTGACCCTGGTAAGATGTAGGATCAGGCAGGTGGTTGAACCAGGTGGTGGACATGAAGCTCGGGAATGCTTTGCTCCCAGTGGGGGTCGGGTGCTGGCAGAACCCGAAGCTGTGGCTCTTGCAACAGCTTCCATTCATGCTGGACTTTTTTTTTTTATCAGACATTCCACCCAAGCCCTTGTTTCAGGCATACTACAGTCGTCGCTCCCCTCTTTTGATAAGAAAGCTGTTAAGGATGCATGAATCAGGAAGGTGATCGGTTGCTTTCTTACAGCTGCCCCAAGCAAGCTGATGGCAGAGGCCAGCACCACGGCTTTGCCGAGACCAGCCACCCTGCCCCAAGAGCTCCCCGTGCCAGGGCTCAGCCAGGCAGCCACAATGCCGGTATGTATGTGACCTTAAACTCCTTCTCGACCAGAAGTGCCACAGCGTGGCAGGGCTGACAACACCATAGGACAGCATTACTGCATCTTCCCAGAGAAGCAGTTGTACTTGGAGATTAAGAGTATGGCATGGCAGGCAGGGGTGGGAAGCTAGGTAATTGAATTGGCAAGTAATCTGAAACATTTTTATTCCAAAATTAACATGTGTATTCAAGGATGCAAAATGTGTATGTGTACACATGGATGTGTATTCAAGGAATGCAAAATGCAAATGAATTTTAAAGATTAAGCTGAAAAACCTCAAACTGGGGGTCACATCCCCAGAGTCTCTGAGGGTACACAGGATCCTTCCATCTGAGGTCCCGTTTCACTCCAGGGAAAATGTTCAAGAAGTCAGTGCCAACAAAACTCTATCTCTGCATACATCAGGCAGTGTCCCTGATACACACCAGACCTCCCCAGAAGGTCAGGGATTGAGTGGCCTTTTAGAAAGCACGCTGGCTGTATGCAAAATCACTGATGCACACAATACTCCAGTTATCTCCTGCCTCGTAAGGGGTCACACCAAACTTAGCGACGTAAAGCAACAGTCATTTCTCACATTCGCGGGATTCAGGAAGGGCACAGCAGGGCTGACTCCTCTCTGCTGCCTCGTGTCAGAGGCCTCACCGACTGGACCTGGGGAATCCACACCCCAGGGGTGTCTGCGCTCATGTCTGGTACGTGGGGTGGGCCGGGCTACCCTGAGACCATCCACCCTCCACTTGCCTGGGCCCCTTCTTGCCTGGGCCCAACTTGCCTTAGGCTTCTCCCAGCATGGCAACTGGGTTCCAAGAAGAAATATCTGGAGATGGAGCTTTCTGTGAGAGCCAGGCAGAAGCTACATGGCTTTCTGTGACCTAGCCTTGGAAGTCCCACAGTGTCACCTCTGACATCCTTCTTGATCAGAGCAGCCCCAGCTCACCCACAGAGATCGACATAGACTCCACCTCAGGATGGGAGAAGTGTCCAAGAATGTCAGGGGCCACATCCAGGTAGTTGCCAGAAACCCCCTACCCAACCCTCGCTGACATTTTGGAGATGGGAGTGAACGTGCCAGCTTCCTGCTTGCGGTCTCCAGGAAAATCATGCAGGCCCTCCTTGAAAAGCTGGAGTGACGTGTTTTATTTTCAAATCGCACAAGACAAAGACCACTTACTTTTTCTCCAGCCACCTTCCAAAAATGCTTCCAAGCCATGAATGCCATTCTTCCGATACTTGGCAGTCCAGTAGAACTACTTTCTGCCACTGATGGGGGTGCAGTTCTGGTTCCTCTCCGCTGTGTGAGGGATGCGATCCGAGGAGAACCCCAGGCAGCCCTGTGCTGGGGATTCCTCACTCAAAACAAGGTCTCCTGTGGTCACTTCCTCCCAATGCGTGACACTTCCCATTTGGGCTTCTCTTTATGGTCTGTAGGGCCTGAGGGACAGTTTGGGAGTAACTTCAGAAGAATCCTTTTACTTTTCTTTTAAAAACTCTCAATAGCCCACAAAGCTGAGGATTTCATTTCTTGTTTCTACACATTGCTACGTATTGCCCCCACTGTCCTCCTGCCCTGCCCCGAGGGATCAGGAAACAAGGTCTGTGACTCAGCTGACTGCCCAGGAGTCTCTTGAACAGATTCCAGGCAGAGCCTGGTGAAATTGCACCAGTATTCACTGCCTGGATGAATGAATGGATATAGAAACGCATGGCACATCTGTCCGCTGCATTCATGTTGAGCAGGAAGGATAAGGGCCACATGCAAAGCCAGCGCTGGTTATTAGCACAACTCCATTCGTATTGCTCGATGACACTGCTAAGAATTTATCAATTTGGGAGAAGAAGCAACCAAATCCAGCAAGAATGGAGTCTAGAACAGAGGCAAGGAAGGGGGAGCGAGAGGAGCTGCCAAGCTCTGGCACGTCATAGCGGCTTTGCAGGGCACACCATGGTGGGAAGGCATCCCAGACCCCGAGTGACTCCAGGATCTTGCTCAAGGGCACCCTGCACCCTCCATCAGCCATGTGTCGGCTCTGACTCTGTGTCTTGCAAGGGCGGCAGCACAGCCTACCTTCTACATGTAAGCTCTTCACTCTAGTGCAGAAGGGCCTCCTCTAGGCCAGAGAACCCAGCTGAGAGCGAGAGCATCCATGTGCCTCTGTAATGGCCCAGAAGTGGTGTTTGTTAACAAGGGCCCCCTCTCTTCCCCAGGCTCCCCTGCCTGCCCCGTCATCCTGTGACCTCACACAGCAGCTCCTGCCTCAGACCATTTTGCAGAACCCACCTGCCCCCATGACACAGGTGAGTCTGGGGCTCAGGGAAAGGGGAGCCTGGTGGTGGTGCTCCCCAGGACAGAATGCTTGCTATCCTCTTGGGCGTGTAGATGCATCGGTGCCAATGTATAGGTACCAAAGCAAGATCCCAAACCGGGGGATGTTTCTCCTGACGCGCAGGTGGGGCACCTCGAGCTATGAACTTTGTCCTCTCCCTGTCCCCTCTGGCCATCATCCTTTTCTTAATCTTTGTTCATCCCTCAGCCACTTCTCTATGTTCCTCTTACTTTTTATGACTCCAAATTGGTTATGTTATTTCAGGAAAAGTTTGAATTAGGCCAAATGTCATAGGAAGCTGTGAGTCCAGTACTATAAATACCACATTTGTTGGTTGTTTTGTTTTGTTTTAATTTTTTTTTTCAACGTTTATTTATTTTTGGGACAGAGAGAGACAGAGCATGAATGGGGGAGGGGCAGAGAGAGAGGGAGACACAGAATTGGAAACAGGCTCCAGGCTCTGAGCCATCAACCCAGAGCCTGACACGGGGCTCGAACTCACGGACCGCGAGATCGTGACCTGGCTGAAGTCGGACGCTTAACCGACTGCGCCACCCAGGCACCCCTGTTTTGTTTTGTTTTGTTTTTTAAGGACCGTGGCTTTGCTGAGTAATTCCTTCCTTGTTTTAGCAACATTCAGTGAGTTACTATTTGGGTCAGTCCATGAGCCGGTGTGAGGGGCACAGCCCTAGCTTTTAGCACTCAGAGTTGAAGGGAGAGGTGGGCATACCAACAGACCAACCTCCATGGCAGGGTGTGTGTGTTTACACAACCGGTAAGAAAACAGCCTACTGAGGAGGTGACCCCTGAGCTGGGCCCGGCAGGATGTGCTTGAGGCCTGGCGAGAGGCTGAATGAAATAGTGGTCATTCATTCTGTGGCCGCGTAGGGCCTTTGAGCTGATTAGCATACACTGCACTGAGGCCAGGCTCCACTTTCAGTTTCTTTATGGGATATCTAGCTTTGTGCCACTGTCTGGCTACAAGGGGATCCGAGGTCACAGTTCACTGACAAGTACTCCTGGCCGCACTCCTGCCAAAGTGTGGACTTCTCTCTTGGGGCAAATCCATCACCACCGATGAAAACTCTTTTACAACACATGTCCCATTAACAGCCGTCTCAGATGCCTTCCTGGAATCAGAAAGACACCTGCTAGCACATGCCCCTCGACAGAGTTAGGCTGGAAGGATGTCAAAGCTACTCATCCAGAGTCAACTAATTAAAATAGTCTGTGTTCATCCTCATTCGGAAAAAAAAAAAATTTTTCTCTTCGAATTTCCAAGGCACATTTGGTATGAAATTAGTAAGTTTTTCAATCCAAAGGCACATGAAATGAGAGTTCCTGTAACTTCTGGGTCTTGCATCCTAAAGGAATTTCTTTTTTATGCATAATGATGTGATTAAGGCCTTCTTCAAATTCTAATGTTTCATGTATTAAACGTCATTTTAATTAACAGAAACAGTTCTTAGTCTCTTAGGCATGTTATACTTAATAATAACCATATTCTTTAAGACATTCTTGCATAATGCTGACCTTTCAAGTCAGACAGTTCTTTGCATACCAGCTCCATGTAAAACAGTGCATTCTACAGTTTTCTCTCTTTCCATTCTCTGAAGCTATCTATCACTCTAGCACCCTATCGTGGAAAGGGGCGGGGGGAATAAAACCCAAAGTCTGACAAAGGGTTTTCTGGGTAACTAGCTGGTGGTTTGGCTTCAAGATGTGTTTCTAATATGTCTCTAAGTTAGAATAAATGTCTTTCTCAAAGAGGCCATGATCAAGAATATAACAAGAGACTAATGCCTGGGTGTCTTGGAATCCCTTGAGAAAATCAGAATAATATTAGAAGTCACTATCACTTATGAAGCACAGTGCTGGCCCCTCCCTGACTGCCCTGCCCCCTCCTATTTCCCTTTGGAGCCAACTGGGCAACCCAGAGTGTCCTCTCCACTGGACATGCTAGGCGTAGCCCCCAATGTTTCCTGACTTTGTAGAACCCCTGGAAGCTTTTGTGTTGTGGTTGTGTGTGTGTGTGTGTGTGTTTAATTTGCTACCTAGTAGAGGTCGCTTTCTTAACAGAATTCTCTTTCAAATTCCCAGCTGTGTGTTTTGATTACTTACATTCTGATGAAGATTTTTGTGATACAGTCTGGTTTAGCACAGAGAACTCATGTTTAGCAAGAGACTTTTTCTGTTAAATGAAATCTGAAGGCAAAGCCGCTCTGATTGAGGTGCATTTGGGAGGCGGGGGAGGTGTTGCTGGCAAAACCGCTCGGCCTCACACAGCTCCTGAGACTCAGAATTCACATTTTGGCCCGGGCCACCAGCTAGCTGTGCGATCTCAAGCAAGCCACAACCTCTGCGTGACATGGGGGTATAATGTAAAGAATTAAACGACTGGCCAGTGTGGGTCTCCGCAAGTGGCAGCATATAGTGGGTTTTTTTTAATCATTTTGCTGCTCCAAAAACTGCAGTCAGTTATTCCATCCTTCAGTGTATCCTGTGTTCTACAGTCTCCCCGGCCTCCTTGCTTTTCCATGTAAGAAAGGTCAAAGGGCAGAGGAAGAGTCTCTGGAGGTGTTTGCAAAAGACAATGGGCAAGAATCAGACTAGGGAGAATGTTGGGATAGAGATTGAGGGAATGGAGGTTAACTCATTGTTTTTAAAAAAAAAAAAAAAGGGAGGAGGAAGGGAAGGAAAAGATAAGGAGAAAGGGAGAGGAAGGGAAGGAGGAGGAAGGGAGGGAGGAGGGGAGGGGAAGTCCCAGGCCAGCAAACACATGTTCCTCAAGAAACAGGAATTATTGAGTGCTCCAGAGAGCCCAGAGCAGGGTAGCCACCCCAGGGAGTGCCAGCCTCCCTTGCCACGATCCCCTACTTTCCTCGTGTTTCCTTGCAAGGAAACACCCTATGTCAAGGTAGGACCTATGTCCCAGAGATAGCTGTAGAATCTTTCTAAAACCAACCTCCATCCCAGGAAAAGGAGTAAGAGGTGGAACGGAGGGGAAATTTGGAGCTTATGTGCAAAGCAGATATCAGTGTCCCTCATGTAAGGGCACCCTCTGCCAGTGTTACCCTCAGGATAAATGTCAGGTGATTGTACTATTCTTTTCCTTAGTCTTTTGGTGCACAGATCTCTAAGTGCAGAGCAGCAAATGAACCTGGGGGAAGTGAGGGAGGGTGGTAAGGCCTCCCCATGGCCTCAGGCTGGTTTGGAGAGCAGGGCTCCCACAAATTGTAGCTATCAAGCTCATTTGTGAATTGTTAACAGAAGAGCCCTGTATGCCAGGATCAGATTTAGGATAACGATAGGACCCCAGATTGCCTGTGAAGCTGTCACACGCTCTCTGATGCACTGCTTTTGACATTCATCCCCAAAACCATTTGTCTGTCTAACCAAATTTGGAATGTCAGTTTGTGAGCACTGCTCACAAAATTGTGTCCCAATTCTGTGGCCCTCCCAAGCTGCAGTGCAATACATTAGACCTGCAGGTTCTGGTAGGCCTGAGAAAAGCTCATGTGGGGACCACTGGGCCTCCCAGTGCTCATCCAAAGACCCTGTGCCCTGCCGAGCGCCCCAGCAGTGAGTCACTCAGGAGGGATACCAAAAAGGGTGGATAAGGGACCGGAAATGAAAGTGGGCAGGGCTGCTCAGAACAGCAGCAACATCTGTCTGCAAGGCTGAAATAACTCTTTCATCTGGTCTTGTGTTTTGACTCCACCTTCAAGTTCTCAGCACAGTTCAGCATGTTCCAGACCATCAAAGACCAGCTAGAGCAGCGGACACGGATCCTGCAAGCTAACATCCGGTGGCAGCAGGAGGAGCTCCACAAGATCCAGGAGCAGCTCTGCCTGGTCCAGGACTCCAATATCCAGGTGAGGCCTCTTCCTGGGCCAGCATCCGCCACGGTCTCTGTCCTCCCTGCCTCCCTGCCATATTTATCCACTGTTTCGGGGTGGGCAGGACTCCCACCAAAGTGCCTCTGTACTGCCCTAATGAGTCCTGCTTACTAAGCATATTGCAACCCCCAATACCAAGTACAAGGAACAAATCCCCCCTCCTCCATCCCCAACTCCAGGCCAAACACGAATTTCACATGACACCCTCCCTGTTGACCCCTTGCTCTGTTGGGCACATAATGTCTGTATATCACCTGCATTTTCATTCATGAGTGGTGGTTGTTCGCCCTGCATTGATGCCTGCCTCCCTCCCTCCTGTGGGGGTGTAAACTCCCGGCACCTGTGTAACTGCTTTCATAGCACCGGGCGGCTACTGGCTACCCGTGGGGGAAATGGAGGCAGCTCTACTGTAGCCTCTCACCCAAAGGGGCCATGAAGGGAGATCTGGGAAATGATGAGATCTGCACCCTGCACAGAGGGGGGATGGGAGAGGGAGCTGGGGACTGGAGGTCAGCACCCTGGCGTCTCCAGGCCACCCCATTTGTGGCATGCCCATTGCGGCATGCTGCAGTTCTGACAACAGCAGCTTTCAACCATGACGCTGCCCCCCACCCCCGCCAGATGTCGCTTCTTTAAATCCTTTGGAGAGATTGCTTTTGGAGTGAAAGCTGTATATATTAGATTTCTTACAAGGATAAGTGATTTTTACCAAGTTTTACTTGTATCAGGTGAAGACTATGTTTCTTCCCAAGTGCATTCTTTTGACCCAGCCTCTAATTGTGAACGTAATTCTAGCTCACCTTGGAGTCTGCCTTGAGAGCTCTAAGCATTTGCACTCCTCCCCGCACGCCCCTTAGAAGAGGCGGAAGGAAGCAGGAGACACCCTTGGAGAAAATGGTTGGAACCCTGGCCCTGCCGCTTCCCGGTCACGGTCCACACAGACCCTTCCGGGGGGACCAACAGGTTCTATGCGAGCGCAGCGCCCTAACCCTGCGCGGTGAGATAACGCGTGAAGGATCGGCGATGCTGGGTAGCGGGAGACACCTGCTGCCGGCCTTCCTGCCTCCCTGGGCTCCTCAGAGGCGCTCCTGGCTTGCTTTCCAGAGCCTAACTGCCCCTGCCCCCACCCCCACCCGCACAGACTCTCAGCCTGGGCTCTCCCTTCCCCCTGCCCCACCACCAGGAGGACAGAGCCCAGCGGGACGCGCACTTCCCGCCCCGGGGGTCCGGGGGCGGAGAGCTCTGCCACACCCAAAGCCCTTTAGCTGCCCCGCCTCCTCTACCACTCCCCAAAACGGGCCCGGGAGAAGACCACAGTGTTTACAGGAAAAGAAATGCAGTCGTGGAGGTGTCAAAGTCCCTTTTTGCTTATTCCTTCCCAGCTGTAATATTTTCTCACTGATCCAAGGCCCGATTGGCAGAACTTGCCTGACTCCAATTACTTGAATGGAATTTTTACACTAACAGGAAGGGGAAAATTGAGCCAGAAACTGCTAAAAGCAAGGTAGGCGTATGAACATCCTCCTCAGAGCCCGGGCCTTTCTATTTCCTGCCTTTTCCACATTCAAGCTGAATTCTAAAATAACAGGCGACGCAAGGTTATCTCTTTCACTCCTTGTTATGAAGAAGTCTTATTTTTCTTCCTCGTGACCAATGCATTTTGTTGCACCCCCCCCCCCAAAGTATCCATACCAACAGAGCACCTGAGTTTTGTGAGGGTTGAGGTGGAAATCAGGCCCTGCAGTGTGTTCCTTCCCCGTTTTCATACTTGTGACCTTATCTTTGCAGTGGAATTTTCCAAAGAACATGGAAATCCACAGATTGTCCAACCAGAGAATATTTCCTCAAGCAGCCTGACTTCTTGTAGTTTTACAAGTTTACAGATTTAAAGAAATACCTTCCAAAATGTACAACCAAAATGTGATATTCCTTAAAAACAAAACCAAAAACCTGCGTGGTTCAAGCATAAAGAAAAAGCAAGTAAAAATTACTCCACCCCTTCCCTAAAAAGGTAGGAGTGGGGAAGAGAGATTAAATAAGAATAATTGATATTTGATAGAATATCAACTATTGATATATCAAACTATTGATGAAGAGTTGATCATTGTTGAAGCCTAAACATGATACATGGGGTTTCATTATACCTCTATTTTGTGTATTTCTAAGATGTTCTGTAATAATAAGTATTGTAAAAGGAAGCAGATTAGAATAATGAAAAACCACATGTGAGCATACGATTGGTTTATTCTTAAAAATTAGAAGCTTTTTTTTCTCTGATAGCCTTTTCTATTTGAATGAAGGAACTATTTTTCTCATACTTCCTATAAAGTTGACCCCCTGTGCCTTTTAAGAAGTCATCCTCCTAAACCATAAAATTCTACTTTTTTGTGGGTAAAACAGAGGCATGGATGTGCACAGTGAATTAGGATTGTCCCCTACAAAAGCCTTTACCAGAATGTCAGTGGACTTTCCTACTTTACTTCAGTGCCCCTGAGCTTTCATTGAGACTATGTGTGCATGTGATGCTTACTGAGTACAATTAAAACACACACAGTAACCCACACACATACACACACACACACACACACACACACACACACACACACACACAACTGGGTTATGAGGGAAAGGTCCTCTGAAGTGTTTGTGTCTGCACCTAGATGGGAACCATGAAGGATGCTACTTGGGGAGAGCTGTTCCCATGAAAGGTTGTGTCACCCCCTGCAGTCCAGAGAAGGATGCCTCTTGTTCTCTTTTTGAGAGTATGCACGCCCTCTGCTGGCTACTCAAAGAAATGCCAGGAAGGGCATCTGTAGCAGTGGCAAATATGTTCCTTGATAGTTCTTTTCAATCACTCATCTATCTTTCTTTCCTTTCTTCCATCCACCCATTCATCCATCTATTCATCCATCATCCCTTCCTTCATTCCCTCCATCCACTTATGCATCCATCCATCATTCCTTCCATCCATCCATCCACCCTCCATACACCTATCGATCCATCTATCCATCCATCTATCCTTCCATCTGGCAGACACCCATTATGTATCAAGCACTTGGTTAGGCACTGTGCAAAAACAGAGATACACAGGACAGGGTTTTTACCCTTAGAAGGCACACATCAGTGGGACAGAGTAGCAGACCCAGCAGTCTCTGACATAACACAAGCAGAAATAGTTTGCCCTTCTCTGAGCAAAAGCCTCATTTATTTGTTTATTCATTCATTTATTTATTCCATCACTCATTTTTCAGATAGTTTTTGAATGCCCAAAGAGGCAAAGGAACAAAAGTTCCTTTTTTCATTTTAAATACTGTTGTTACTATCTAACGTTGATTGAGCCCTTACTATGTCTCAGCATAAATTTTATTTAATCCTTTATGAGATATATGATGTTAATGTCACTGTTTTATTAATGAAGAAACTAAAGCTTTGGAAAGTCATGAAAACTGCCTAAGGTCATACCAGTAATACATGTTGGGGTTGGAATCTGAACCTAGGTATGTGATTTAAGCCACAATATACTGCCTGTCATAAATAAAGGTTGCATTTTTTTTTGAAATCTAACCAGAAGGTAAATTGTTCCCTACCGGAAAAATGTATGTTATGTAGTTTGAGTATTGTGTTTTTGCTAAAGTGATGAAGTGTAGGTCACCGTAAGTGCTATAAGTAATAATCCCCAAACTGAATCTGAGATGATTGATACCCAGAAAATTCTTCTTAACTTCTTAAGTGACAAAGAGCTCTCATTGAAAACCTCTCTGGTGGGGTGGAGATGTGAGTGGAAAGCAGGGAGATCAGGTGGGGTGGTGGAAAGGGCACCAGATGGGAACCTGGTCCACTCAGCTCAGCCACCCACCTGCCTCAGGCCTCTGGGAGCCAGCTCAACCCCTGCCCATGAGGCGTAAACTTGAACTAACTACTCTGCTCCTGCTAGTATCTACTTGGCATGGTTCTACCTCTGCCTTTCCATAATCACTCTGTCACTCAGCAAATGTTGGCATGTCGGTTCTGTACTGGGTTGAGGTTGTACTGACCTGAGTACAGGAATGGAGGATTAAAACTCCAGATGCTAGAAGGAAGAGGGACTTGCTCCTCAAGAACTCAAAGCTATAGCCCTTAAAGGGAGGGGAGCACTGCCTGTCAAGATTCCAGTATATTTGGGAGCACCTGGGTGGCTCAGTCAGTTGAGCATCTGACTCTTGGTTTCAGCTCAGGTCATGATCTCACAGTTCGTGGGTTCGAGCCCCACATCGGGTTCTTGGTGATGGCGCAGAGCCTGACTGGGGTTCTGTCTCCCTCTCTCTCTTCCCCTCCCCTGCTTGCTATCTCTCTTTCTCAAAAATAAATATTTATAAGGAAAGAAAGAGAGAGAGAGAGAGAGAGAGAGAGAGAGAGAGAGAGAAAGAAAGAAAGAAAAAGAAAAAGAAAGAAGGAAAGAAAGAATCCAATATATTCAATAATACCAGTTTTCAATGCCCACAAGGACCTTTGATTCAAAGAGCTGGTTACAGGTCTTAGGTTTGAATTATTATTAAAAGTATTAAAGTTGTTTTTCTTAAGGCTTTAGAGTCAATTTACAGATTATATTTTATTTACAAATCTAACTTGGTCTAAAAATAGCAATGCTTTTACTTGTTTTTATTTTTTCAGCTAGTTTATAAATGTAACAAATCATAAATAACCAACATTCTCTGCCAAAGCCATTAGTCTACAAGTTCAATATGTCTAAATCTTCCAAACGTTTCATGTGCTGAACAAGGCAGACCTGTCAACTTAGAAGTAAAATCTTTCTAAGCCCTTAAGCAATTCTTTTAAATCAAACACATCAAAAATGAAGTAGATCGAGGTTCTCATAAACACTTAAACATTCTACAAACTTATCAAATTCTCTTAAACCTTTCAAATTAAAACTTCCAGGCCAATGTATCACATTTGCCTCCCTGGGAATGCAGAGTCACCTAGCTAATGGGAGCGGATTGCTGGGTAAGATGCCCGACCGCAATGTGGGTACACACCCAGGCCAGTGGTCAGAGATGTAAGTCCTGGCACAGGACCTGGTCCTACTGCCAGGATGGTGCAGCCTTATGGCACAGGTTAGCCTACCCTCTGCCACCATTCATCCCATTAACAAGATATTTCTCTCTTCTAATAAGAAACTGGTAAGCCAATGCAGTCTCTATGCAAGTACATCGAGTTATTTATAGACCATCTGGATCTAAGCATCTTTCACACTGATAGACCTCCATCGCTAGACCATAGCCTTCTATAAGGCAAGGTCAGCATCCCTCCGACCCACTGCTCCACCTCCAGGACCCTTGCACTGTGCTTGTGGCATCACAGCACCCAATGTCCCCACGTTGAGTGAATGAATCCTTCCCAAGCAGGTCAGAGAGAGCAAGAAAGCCATGGATAGGGAATACAGAGAAGGTGCAGACACCTTGGTGTGTGGAGACAGAGCCCTGAAAGTGGAGGCACATGTGATCCCAAACTTAAAGGTACACTGTTCTGCTTCCAGATGTTCCTGCAGCAGCCAGCTGTTTCCCTGAGCTTCAGCAGCGCAACGCGGCCTGAGGCTCAGCAGCAACTCCAGCAGAGGTCAGCCCCAGCCTCCCAGCCCCAGCTTGTGGCCAGCCCTCAACTCCCAGGGCAGATTGCCTCTGCCCAGGTGGCAAACCAGCACCTGCTCAGAGAATCAAGTGTGATATCAACCCAGGTAAACGTGCTTGTCTTCATACTCAGTCCTTGCCACCGAAGCAGACCAGGGCATGCTTGATTCCTGCAGTATCCCGAACTAGAAACCTACTGAACCTTTCCTCTGTGACCAGGGCTAGAGTATGTTTGGGGGGGGGGGGGGGCACGAGGAGGTTTTCCTTATTCTAAGTCATTCTGAAGCCCCAAGTTGTACTAGTTTCCTTCTGTGTTTTATTAATATATTAAAATACCTCAATGGTATCAGCATTGATCCTGACCTGGGTTGGAGGTAGATATGGATACCCAGACACTCACATTGACAGCCATATGTCCCCGTGTGTGTGTCCTCAGTCCTCTTCATCTAGTCTGGTTATAGCCATTATCAGTGTGAGAACACGGGTTATCCACTTCTGTTCATTGTCCCTTTCCCCTGGGCCACCGTGCTCCCCCTCCTTCCTCCAGATTCCCCACCAAGCCCTTCCCTCATTGTCATTACCACCTACTACAAGCCATCAATGACTTTGCAATCTGACAGTCAGCCAGCAATAAATGGCACTTAAATTGAATGAAATTGAGAGGACCTAAGCCCCTGCTTCTGGAAGATCAAAGATTGGAAGGCAAGATACAGCCTCTCCTCAAGTCTCATATTGGCACCTGTTCAGTAGATCTGCTGAGCTCCTCTTATTCACCATCTCCCAGGGGAACAGAGATGAATAAGACTTATCTTGACTCCAAGGAGCTTCTAGTCCCATGGGGCCTCTGGGAATGTAAACAGATAACGTACAGAAAAATGTACAATAAAATGTGGAAAAGTCCACATTTAATAGTTTGGCCCATCTTCACCCAGATTTGAGGGTTTTCCTTTAAAATGCAGCCTTTTGGTTCTAAAGGTCAACAGAAAAATTAATGAGAATAGCCAAGAAGAATTTAGAAAAGAAAAACTGAGGAAGGGCCTACACTATCCAATACTGAAAATTTTCAAAGATGCCTCAAGAGTCAAAACACTGTGGTGCCATCATATGAATGGACAGTCAGTCAAAACTGGAAAACCCGAAAAACAAAAAAGCAAATCCAAGCCCATTCCATCATTCATTTAAGATTTCAGTCAACAAGTATTTATTAAGTGCTCACTGTGTGCTAAGCACTGAGGGAAAGCAGTGAACAAAAAAGGAAACAGCATCTCTGACACAAGTCAGGAGAGAGATGCAAACGAGTAAAGATGACAGCATGTCAAATGGTTATGCAAGAACACAGGTGAAGGCTGGGGGGTGTGGGCAAGAACACAGGTGAAGGTTGGGCACTGGGCTGGAGTTTTCAATAGGTAGCCTTTTCTTAGAGTAGAAAATATTCAATCAAAGAGACCTGATGGAATGAGAGAATGAACCATACCAGTATTAGGAGGAAGAGCATTCTCCATGGGGGAATCAGCCAGTGCAAAGGCCTTGAGGCCTGATGAGTTAGAAACAGTAAGGAGGTCCATGTGTCTGGAGTAGAATTTGTGAAGCATAAGGTAGTTCCATGCACAGTTTCCTTATTTGCTGAGTGCCCAACACTGTTCTAGGCCCAAGGGATTTAAAGAATCCCTGAGGTGTTTATAATCCAATGGGGAGGACAGTCCCAGGATCAAAATACTTCAAAAACTAGTGGATCCTAGGGGTGCCTAGGGGGTTCAGTTGGTTAAGCATCCAACTCTTGATTTCAGCTCAGGTCATCATCTCATGGTTTCTGGGTTTGAGTCCTGCATTGGCTTCATGCTGACAGCATGGAGCCTGCTTGGGATATATTCTCTCTCTCTCTCTCTCTCTCTGTCTCTCTGTCTGTCTGTCTGTCTGTCTGTCTGTCTGTCTGTCTCTCTCTCAAAATATATAAACTTAAAACAAACAAACAAACAAAACCACAACAAAGAAAAGTAGCGGGTCCTAAGAGGAAGGGCCAGGGTAGGTAGAAGAAAGAGGTTCTGGGGAGGATTCCTGGAGAGATGACACCTGAGTTGAGTCTAAGTCTTACCTCTCTCATTAACATGATGGCTCCAGGGTCCACGGCCAATGAGAAGCTCACAGATGATGCAGGGAAGTGGCCACTCAGTGAGCAGCTTGACGCCCCAGTTCAGCAGCACCACGGCTGTGCTCCCACCAGCTCTGAGCCTGACCACGCTTGCTTCTGCCTCCCAGGATGGCAGCCAGTGCCAGCCCAGCCCAGACTTTGGTCATGATCGGCAGCTCAGGTACTGAGATCGCCCTCGTTTAAAAGATAGCTCAGGTGCAGCTTTACAGTAACCACTTCAGCCTCCCTTCTGCTGTCTCCCAGTCTCAGCTAACAAAGTGGCAAGAGAGGGCTGGGGTCTCGGATGGCTGCGCTCATCTTCCTCTGAGAGCAGAGTGGGCACAGTGGGTGTCAGGGGCAGCCAGAGAGGGCCCAGCCAGGCTGGACAGGTGCTGCCGTCAGCCAGCAGGTCTACAGTTTGGGTGCTGATTCAAGTTTCCCATTTATCTCCTCCTCTGCTCCAAGGCTATTGCTGAGCCAGCCCATCCAGCCCATGATGCCTGGGTCCTGTGATGCGAGGCAGCCCTCAGAGGTCAGCAGGACTGGACGGCAAGTCAAGTAGGTGGCCCCGGGTGGAGGGAGGAGGCAGAGAACTGCACTGAGTGGTCTCAGGCTGGCAGGGCTCTCATCGGCCTGGACCAGCAGCGCTCCTGTGCGTCTCACACGAAAGGCAAGGTCAAAGTGTGCCCACACCCTTTGCAAGGAGACCCCCTTAGCTCTTCTTCCATTTCCCATTGAAGAAGATCAAACTGTGTGTCAGCATTCCATGCTTAAAACAGGACCTGAACAAAACAATTAATTATATCCCCTGTCTGTCATCATCTTCAGATATCTTTATGGGTCCTTTGCCCTCAGTAACATCCCAGGTAAATGCAGCCTGATCCCCTTCCCCAGGGCGTTCCCATGGCTCCATCTGACCAGCAGATGCTGGCACATTCCACAGGCATACTTGGACACTTGGAGCTCTCCAGCTCTGTGGTTCTGGTGCTGAGCCACGGGACTGTGAAACCCTGCAGATGTGGGCTCTCCTTCCTTCCCAGACACGCAACCTTCTGTGTCTCCTTCCGCAGACTCTTCACCACTTGCAGCCCCCACGTCCAGAAGCAGCTTTGTTCTACTATTGCATTAATTACCGGGGACAAAGGTCACTGGAGACCTAGGAATGGATACTCGAAAAGCTACTGGAAAACAGTTCCTAGCTCTTGACACGAGGCAGAACTATCTCACAGACGTCTTTTTTGCATAAACATTGGTTGAGTGTGTGTCTGAAGTTTACTAGGACAGGGCTAGCTAATTAGGCCTGGCCATCCTTAGAGCCATCCCCTAAGACCAGCTCCCAGAAGCCCTTCCTCCCATGTCCTCCTTCAGCCAGTTAGAATAGTAACAGTGGATGTTTTCTGAACATTTCTGAGAGGCAGGGGCTGGTACCTGTATTGTTTCATTTTATCCTGATAAAAACCCCGTGATGGAGAGAAATGGGGAATGTGCACTTCAGGAGCTGCCTTTCAATCCTCTGATGGTGCTCTCAATTAGACAAAACAAAGACTCTTGTTACATCGCGTTCCAGAGATGCTTAAAATGCAGTGAACTAGGCAAAAATGGGCATTCTTTCCTCCAGAACTCTGCCATTTTCCGTCAACCCAATGATTGCCACCCTCCCCATGTCCTCTACCGTCTCTTCCAGACATGACCTAATGCTCCACCTTGTTACAAATGACCTCATAGAAAGAAATCACATTTCCAGAATATATAATACAAAATGAACTTCTCTGTGGTGTCTTTAAACACCTGTTCCTGGTCTGTGCTCCTCCAGAGCTTTCCCTAAATGGCCTTCTTCTGCCTCTTGTTCATGGACCATTATCATCAACACCTTTTCCTTTTCTAATTTTTTAAATTGTGGTAGAATATATATACAACATCAAATTCACCATTTTTACTGTCTTTAAGTGGACAGTTCAGTGGCATTCACCATCACCACCATCCATCTCCAGAACTTCTTCATCTTCCCAAACTAAAACTCTGAACCCCATTACACATTAGCTCCCCACTCCCTGTACCCTCCATCCCTACTGGTCTACTTTCTGTCTCTTATGAATCTGAGTCCTCTAGGAATCTCATCTAAGTGGAGTCACACAGTATTTGTCCTTTCGCAACTGGCTTACTTCCTTTAGTATTACTTCACGTGCTCTGGATGTGTGAGAATTTACTTCCTTTTTGAAGCTGAATAATATTCCCTTATATTTATATACCACATTTTGCTTATCCATTCACCCATCGATGGCTACTAGGCTTGCTTCTACTCTTTGGCTATTGTGAATATTGTTGCTACAAACATGAGTGTACAAATATCTGCCCGAGTTCCGCCTTTCGTCTTCTCTTGGGTACATTTCCCGAAGTGACATTGCTGGATTGTGTGGTGATTCTAAGCTTTTTTGAGGAACTACCGTCTTGTTCTCCAGAGTGGCTGCACCATTTTACATTTCTATCAGTGCACAAAGGTTGCAAATTCTCCATGTCCTCGTCATCACTTATTATTCTGGTGGGTTTTTTTTTTTTTCCATAATAGCCATTATGATGGCTGTGAAGTGGTCTCTCATTTCGATTTTGATTTGTATTTCCCTAATGACTAAGGATGTTAAGCATTTCTTCTCATGCTGATTGGCTATCCTTTTGGTATCCTTTTTAAGAGCAATGTTGTTCAAGCCCTTTGCCTATATTTTTAGTCAGGCTGTTTTGTTGTTGTTGAGTTGTAGGATTTTTTTTAATAACCTGGGCATCAGTCCTTCATTAGATATATGATTCGCAAATATTTTTCACTGGTGGCCTTCTCAATCCATGGATAACGTCCTTTGAGGCAGCAAAGTTTTCAATTCTGATGAAGTCCAGTCTGAGTGTCCTTTTGTCGTTGCCTGTGCTGTTGGTGTCACATGAACACCTCTTTCTCAAAAGTCTGTTTTCTCCTTCCCACGTGTGACCCAACAGGTATCCGCAGAGCCAGGCCGTGTTTCAAAATGCAGACATGCACACCACCAGCAGCAGCACCTCGCCCCCCGTCCTGCTGATGGGACAGGCGGTGCCTCAGCCCAGCTTCCCCGCCGCCGCCTCCAGGCAGTCACCCCTGCAGCCCGCACAGGCCCCGCAGCAGGCACAGCACTTCCTGCAGGTGGGCACCGCCGCACTCATGCGTGAGGGCACAGGGCCCGGCTCCAAGGCAGAGGCCTGGCAGGCTTTCCCTCCCTTGCTTTCAGGGTGGTTCTAGTCCTCAGTTCCGAAATAAGCCCCACATAGATTTGCATTTGAATCTTTGCAGTCTATGAAGTTTATAATACTTAAAGTTTATAAAATCCGTGCATCTTTAGTATGAGAACTTAGACTCAGCCATTATGCCTCATAGATCCGTATTTTTATTATAGTGTCCATATTTTTTTTTTTTTTGCTCTACTTTTAGAGCAAAAATCAGACACTGACTACTGTGTTTGTCAGACTCGTTAGTGTGTTTATACACAAAGTCTGATACAAATATAAAATTAAACCATGTTTAAAGATACATCAAACTTGCCTGATAAATACAATCATGTGGCATGAATTTGGGGCTTTCCAGGGAAATGTGGGGCACATTTACATGTGGTCACCACTTACTTCAAGCAAGTGCCAAATCACTGGAGCCTGAGAGCCAGTAATTGGAGTTCAGATGGGACAGAAGTGTCTGCTTGGGCTCTGGCCTTCCCTCTGACATATGCCCAGAGCACCTTCCTGCCCCAGCCCTGACCCTGTCCTGTGTACATCCTTCCTGGCCTCCAGCCCCCACCACAGGGCAGGGCATAGCTTTTCTGTCACTCTGCCTACCGTGCTTGGGCACCTTCAAAGCCACAGGAGAGTGCGGTGACTGAGACATTTTAAGGATAGAGGGATAAAGATGAAAGGAGTCACCCTTGAAGGTCTTGAATACAATTTAATTCCAAAGATGCTAAACCATTTGTGATATACCTTTCAAAGTTCTCTGACCTCAAGCATAGTGGGACCCAACTCTAGACTTCAGTGTGGCATGTCTTGTCATTTTGCAGGACACAGAAGCAATTTTTGGATGGGTTCAGGTGAAGTGAGAAGACAGGGATGGTCTGGGCAGAGTTAGAGGCCTCCTGTGTCTTTCTTCAGCCTTGGCAACACACATGTTCACAGACACCTGTAACTTCAAGATGTGGTGCTAAGAATACACAGAGCACTTGGGCCTGTTTGCTGCCCTCAGGGGCCTCAGGGTGCATTGTGGGGAGAGGGGATGTCACAGAGAGCTGTCAGATTCTGGGTTAGTGCCAGGTAAGAGCACTGTGCCTGGAGGCCTTCGTGGAGGAAGTACTCGAGGCCGGGGTGGGGGGGGGGGGGCAGGGCGGCACCTGCTGCAGAGCTGAGGTGTGGATGGAGTGAAAAGACAGGAAGGGACAGTGTTCCAACAAGAGAGACAGCCTGAGCAAAAGTGGAGGGGCAGGTGTGCCTGTGGTGTCCTGGGTTGTTTGGATGGGGGAGATTTCATAGACGAGAATAGTGGGAGATGGGGCTGACAGTTCCAAAGTTAGGGTTTGACCAGTTGAAGTTTCTGAGCTTCAAATGAGGATGTTCCCCAGTAGATGCTGGCGAATGGCAGTATTTGGAAGTAGTTACCGAATCAGGGACCATGGTGAAAAGTATGCCGACTGCACGTGTGTTTGGATTCTGCTCTGTCAGTTATCTGCATGTGGTCTCAGGTTCCAACATCCCAAAACATATAGGCCACATGTTCAGGAAACCATTCCCCAAAGCCTAGTCCCTGGCCCACTGGCCCAAAGGAACCCCTAGTGCTCGGCTTCCGAATTCACACCCACCTGGGGGAGCCTCAGGCTCCTTTCTTCCCCACCCACCCTACCCCCAAGGTCCTGCCACCACGAGATCCCACCCGCCCCCCTCCCAGCCATGGAGGTGAGGCCTGTAGTCTGACCACACCGGCATTGCCGCCCCAGCATCTCAGCGGAGGAGTTGCCAAAGCACAGAGGCACCTCTGGAGCCCTTTGTCTCTTCTTCGCAGGTACAGGCACCGACCTCTTTGCACAGTGAGCAGCAGGACTCCCTACTTCTCTCCACCTACTCGCAACCGCCAGGGACCCTGGGCTACCCACCCCCACCCCAGCCCCCACGCCCACCCCGAAGGGTCAGCAGCCTGTCTGAGTCCTCGGGCCTCCAGCAGCCGCCCCGGTAGTGCCCTGGCACCTCAGTCGGGTCACAATCAGCTTTAACCAATGGACGGACAATGGGAGTGGCCACAGGAGTGGGGGAGAGGAGTTTTAAACCCTTGGCTTTTATGCACACTGCATACATTTCAGAACTCCTGGATGGTAACCTTCTCCGGAGCATAGCAGCTGGCATGTGACACATGATCAGAGTACTGGCCGTATTTCCCTTGCCTGTGTGTTTCTCGGGCACACTCTACAGCCATACTCGGATGGGAACCGAGTGCCCCCGCGTAAGTGTCGTTACTCAGTTGACTTAGCAGGTGGCACGGCTCGCTGCGTCCTCCTGAGAGAGCGCACTGGTCCCTCTAGCCGGCACGCTTGCTAGCTGGCCTTCACTCTCTTGACCCTCTTTTCTTTGCATTCGAGAAGCACTGGGTCAGAGATCTGTTGAAGAGAGAGAATAAAGAGATTATTTTTCATTATTTTTAAATGGTTGTTTTTGTTTTAATTTGCACAGCTGCACAGAGGAGATAACTTAGGCACTTTCAGGTTTTAAAAATAATAAGGTCTCCTGACTTCATTTGGAGACCGCAGTAACAAAACCAGCCCACCAATCAGATGGCAGAGCTGGTCATTCTTCACCAGGCTGCAGACCCACACCCTCTGGCCTAAAACCTAATGGAAGGAGGTTCTTCACCCCATGCCCGTTCTGGTGATTATTGTTTCCCCTAAATATAACACTGGACTGTTCCTGTTTACTTGGTTGATTGCAACTACAAAGGCCGACTCAAAGCAAAGCACAATCATGCAGCTGATGTTCCGGAATTCTGTCGGGAACTATGAGACTTTGGAGGAAGAGGTTCCACAAGCCAGACAGGCCTGTGGAGCCCCAGGTCCCCGAGGAGACCCCACCACGCACCGGCCCCTTGAGTCAGAATGCTGCATCTTTCTACAGATCTTTCATGATAAGACCGAGGATTGGATTCTCCTTTTCAAAATGCACTTTGCTTTTTTTTGTATGTTTTGTTATGTTGAGATGTTTCTAAAGAAAAAGGTTTTATGTAAAAGACGAAGTGTAGTGAACTGTACAGCTGTTGTAATAATGACCTATTTCTATATAAAATAAAATTGTATGGATTATGTGTAAATTATTTTGTATCTGAGACGCCAGTTCCTTTCCCAAATATAAAAGTATAAAAGTTTTCCTGTGTTTTTCTGTGAGTGGAAATTTTGTAATAAATTAACGAATTTGTACAATTTCCTCTGGAGGCAGTTTCTGTCCCTTGGTATACATGCATGCATACATCTTTTCTTCATTAACATTTTTTTTTAATTTCAAGACATTTCTAAGGATAATCGAAGATATCAAAAAGGTGAAAGCAAGCAATGAATAAATCAGGTTTTTTGAGCTGCAACATATGCACCAGCCCATCAGGCTCCTGACCTTCATAATTAAAGGTTGTGCCAGAAAAAAAAAAAAACGACAACGGTATAAAGATGACAGCACAACAAACAGAAACAGCAAAAGCCCCTGGAAACATCTCAGCCTTCTAGACATAGGGAATCTGTGGCTCTGACGGAGACAATCTGCATCAAAGCAGTCACGACTCATAATTAAACTCACCTGGGCTGGACTTCATGGGCTCCAACTGCCAACACTTAGATCTATCAGTGATGTGCATGGGCTTTCTGTGTCTGTGTGTGAGAGGTGTGTACACACGTTTTGTTGGTGGGGGGAGATATAACAGCAGCATCTAGGAGACTTCTGCCAACTACAGAATCCCCCCCCCCCCATGAGGCCTCATCACGCTGACATAAGGGTGCCCTGGCACACCATGATTGAGAATCACGGAGATGGCACTGCTCAGCACAGCCCTTTCTGTAAACATTGGCCCAAGAGAACTTTCTTTCCTTGTTCCATTGCTATAGTTCTGTGCTTCTACCTGCCTCCCTGTGAAGTAGGGGTAGCTCCTCTGTTCCATGGCAAAGATCACTTTTGGCTGGCACAAGAGGCTATGCAAATAAAGTCACCAAAAAAGGAGTTCTATTGTTCACACAATTGCTGTATTCCCAAAAAAAGGTAAGTCTCAATGTTCTGCATGCTTTAGTATCATTTACTACTCTTTAAAGGAATCAGAAGTGAACCCTCTTTCTAAAATGAGAAGTCTAGGGGTTGCCTGGCTGGCTCAGTCAGTGGAGCATGTGACTCTTGATCTCAGGGTCATGAGTTCGAGCTCCATGTTAGGCGTGGAGCCTACTTAATAATAAATAAAAGAAAAATGTAGAGGCTGCTTTTAAGGCAAACAGGCTCGAGCAATGGAATATATAGAAAAGGCAGACAGTGGCCCCATGGCTGAATACAGACAAGCCCATCAAGTGACCCACCTCAAAATATCCATAGGCTGCAATTAACCAAAGGGCTACCTACAACCAGGCTCAGTTACCAAAAAAGGGGTCATTCCATACCTCACCATACCTCCTCACCTTCCCTCTTTTAAAACAGCCCCCACCATCTTGTTGCAGACAGCCTCTCTTTTGCTGTCCTGCTTGCAGCTCCCTTGTGGTGTATTCAGTAAACTTCTATCACCTTTCTGCCTTGGGTAAATTCTTTCACCACCCACACTGCCAGCCCTGCATAATCCAATCAGGAAAGACACCACATTTAGACACCACAAAAGAGTCTGTGTGAAACTAGATGAACTATTTGGCAATTGAACTGTTCTGTAAATTCGAAGGTTTATTATACATCTGATTTTTCTGTATTTGTATTTTAATTGGCCGTCAGAATCCTAAGTAAATCAAGATTTTTAATGGAAGCAGCATACTTATTGTACTAGGATTTTCAAGCTGGAAGCCATTGAAAGATGGCAGAGTACAAACCATGTTACTAATTTAATTTAGCATTGCTTAAATTTCATACATGTTCAGAATCTGGATAAACTCAGAAAACTCTTATTGTGCAACATTTCTTTAAACCCACATAACATCAAAAAAAAGCAAAATAAATAAATAAATAAATAAATAAATAAATAAACGCACATAACATCAGTGGAAGTTCAATCCCTAAGATTTTGATTCATTTAATTCCGCTCTTTAAAAGGTGGCTTTGTAACCCTGTCTTGTTTCCAGAAAAAATCATGACCTTTCTCTTCGGAAAACTGTAAAGCCTTGGCTCGTAAGAAGCGGTTGAAATGTAACTCTGGAATACGCAAGCTTTGGAATGCGACTACTGGACAGATCTTCCTTTAGTGCCTTCCTTCTGCACCACCACACCCCTTTCATCTTAACAATCTTTCAGTGGCTTTTCTTAGGAAATCCCATTGGACCTTCCTAAGCACAATCTACCCAAAAAGACCCTTCAGCATTTTAGGGTTTGTTGCCCCCTCGAGACTGGCATCTTCTTCCTTGCTGCCCCTACAGGGAAGCATTCGAATCCTGTCTCATTTTAAGGATTCCCTGGTAATCACTAAAAGTAAAAAGACATGGGAGAAAAACCCAGCTAAAAACGTTCATCTTAAAGGTTTTGGTCTCTGGGAGGCCAGCAGTGACTGGCCTGACCCCTGAGGCTTGAAAGAGAAGAAGCTGGAAGAGCCTGCAGGGCTAAACTGAAACAGGAGAGCCCCCCCAGCCAGGCTAATGATTATCAGTCCTTCAGACCAAATGGTTTTTATTATGTCTGTTCAACCTTGACTTAAAGCAGCACAGTTGACATCTGAGAGGGCCATTTCGTAGATTTCCACTGGTGGGGTCTATTTGCTTGAAATTTCACAACTTTAGAGATACAAGAAGATCCTACAATGTTTCAGAGAAAATAAAACAGATCACCAAGGAGGCCACATGACTTCTCAACAACCACTCTGAAAGAAGACAATGGAGAATACCTTCAAAACAGTAGGGAGAAGTTATTTTCAACCTGAAATTCCATACAAGCCAAAACATTAATAAATTTGAGGGTTGAATAAAAACCTTCAGGTATGTGAGGGCTCAACAACTTTAGCTCCCATCCTCCCTGTCTTAAGAAGCCATTAAATGGTGTGCTCCTGTGAAAAAAGGGAGTTCATTTACAATAAGGAAAGCACAGATCCATGGATCAAACTGACTGTCTTAGAATCCCCAGACTGGTGATACCCAGTTCCTAAGCCTCTGGGAAGCTCTAGAATCATCCCTCTGGGCATCTCCTCAGAGCTCCCTATCGTCTCTCACATCATATCTAATCCACTTGTTCAGCTGGACTGCTTACTGCTTCCCCAGTTCCCCTGCCTTTTGATCCCCCTTCCTCAGTATGTCTTCTCTCCTAGCCTTTGTGCCCCAAGGGACAACACAGGTAGAAAGCAACCCAGCCCCATACTCAGTCCTTACTCTGTCCTCATCTGGCTCTTTCCCACTGCCCGTTGCTCCAGTAGTGAAACTTGCTAAAATCACTGATACTCTCTGTTTGGAGAATCTAGTGGGTACATGTTTTTGCCTTCCTTAAACTCTAGCATTTAGAACGTGTTGACCACTTTGGCTTCCTTTTGACTTAGAACATGTTCAACTAAATCTTTTCCTACTGCTCCAATGACTTGTTCCTAATTTCTTCAGCCCCCATCTCTTAAATGTAGTGAGTCTACACCGGTTTTCTCTCTCCAAATCCTCTTGGTTTTACCTATTTGTATCTATAAAATCAGTCTGCTTCTTTCCAATCCCACTGCAACTGCCTTAGTTCAGAACTCCTTACTTGTCTCTTATGTAAATAACTTGTTCCTACTAGTTTTCTTGCTACGATCTTGCCCACCTGCTCCCAATCTATTCTTCACAATGTAACTGAATTAATTCTAAAACAAATCTGACCATGGCACTGCCCTCCTGATAACTTCAATGATGCATTACTTGTAAAACTCTTGAGTAAGGCCCCACACTACCTCATCTCTCCGCCTAGAGTCTAGGAAGCCCTATTGCTTCAGACGGTTCACCTGCCACGCTCCACTTCTCTGCCGGTCTACCTCCTGCCCATCCTTTCAGCGCAGCACTAGCCTCCCTGCTTTCTGCACCCCCGGCCCACCCATGCATCGGGCCGGACACGACCCTCGGGTGGCTCCACAGTCCAGGACAGTAAGTAAGCACTCCCATTCAGGAGTGTCCTTGCTCGACGAGGGCGCCGCCAGGGCGGCAGCTGTCTCCGATTTCAACGGTACCGCCCGCCAGGCGCGGCGCCACACTCAGGTTCATCAAACGTCGGCCGAATCAATGAGAGAATGGGAAAAACAAATTAGAGTCTTTTTTTTCCCGCCCCAGGTCCCATCCAGCTGTGGGCCTGGGCTTTATTTCCTCTGACGATTTAGGGGCAGAGGCGAGAGACCCTGCCGTACCTCCACAGCGCGGTGGAGGCAACTAGGCTACTAGAAGGCAGACGCCGAGAGCGCGCGGCAGGAACGCGCAGTCTCAGCCCTCCCCGGCTCCGCCCCCAAAGTGTGCTTGCTTTTCCCCGGACGCGCGCCGCTTACGTCGCAGCCTCGCCTCCCTCTTCCACCCACCTCCAGGCGACCCGGAAGTTGTACGTGTGACGCTGCTTTCCCTCTCCCACAATACCTCGCGGTCTTCCTTTCCAACCCGGGTCTGGCAGGGTGAGTGTGGGTGCTGGGTCTCGGCTTCGATAATCTGCTTCCATCCTCGCTGGGGATTGTGCTGACCGGGACCGCGAGATTTCTTCTAAGCCGGTCCAGGACTCCGCTTTTCTCGGGGACGCGAACCCGCGCTGTTTAGTGGGTTTCCGTAGCCTGGGAAGGAGAGTGGCCAGGTTTACGGGAGCCGAGCCTGCAGGGGTTTCTGGGGCTCCGGGAGCATCTGAGGGGCACGGCGCTTTGACCGCGGGGAAGCCGACTCGGCTTTGCCAATACCTGGGGTTTCGGGCTTGCCACGACCTTTTGCACCGGCAGCGCCCTGAGGGTGGCAGCGTGAGACCGGGCTCGGGAGGGAAGGAGGACTTTGGTTTGTGCTGGTCCCATTCTGGTCTGAACTTCCTTGTCGCTTGGGTTTAGATGGCTCCCGCAAAGAAGGGTGGCGAGAAGAAGAAGGGCCGTTCTGCCATCAACGAGGTAGTGACCAGAGAGTACACCATCAACATTCACAAGCGCATCCATGGAGTGTGAGTATGTCTGCAGTCGGCCCGATGCCTTGCTGGTTGGGGGCTTCTGAACTCACGCGTCTGGCTGTCACTCTGAGGTCTGTCTAGTTAAAAGCTAAAAATTCGGATCTCTGTTCCATGTCCCCTGTTTAAGGT